TCTGCCTACGATACGAGCCATTGAACGTGCGCTGGTAAGGTTCCAGATTGATGTCCAAGACACTACGAGACGAGTACTTCCGGCATGCGATAGGTAAGCGCTACCCTACTACTGTTGCTACGCCCAATCACAAACAGGCAAGACAACGAGCCCGCGGCGCAACAATGGTTAGGCTTGTAACTGAAAGCTCGCGGGTTCGAAATTCAGGGATTTCGAAAACTTGGGGCTGCCTACGGCTGGCTGATGACAGCTGCAGAGGCTATTAATCGATAAGCGCCTGCCTGTGAACGTTCTGCATTGAGCCCCAGGGTACAGAGGGACGAGCATGTCGCGACAACCGCATGGTGACCGCAACTCTATCATAATAAGGAAGCCGGGCCTAATCTTAGTCCATCACCTCTATCTTAGAGCCAAGCGCATCGAATAATGTCAGATAGCACAAGTAGCGCGTCCGAGATAGTCCAGTGCTTTTCGACCGTTGCCAGACAAACACACCTGGCGGCAGAGGCCTTGTAGTTAAACAAATTGACAGCTCGGCCGGCGGTCTCGACGAGGTACACCGCATGTGTTTCAACAGGCCGAAGGCGAACGCGGTGACTTGCGCAGGAGTCTGTTTTAAGTTAAACAAGTTACTCCCTATGCGACTGTCGGCCAAAAAAGGGCCACAACAAGCTTTACAAATATGTGCGCACAAGGTGATTAGTGAAAGTCGTGTTAAGCACCGATACTTGACAAAAAACATGCACAAAAAAGTAGCCGAATGTGCGGGCTTTCTTGACACCAACTTTAATCGTGAAGTGGGCAGGATAGACAGCGTAGAGGTTAATGTTGGTTGCATAAGGAGTTCTTACTCTCACCGCCAAGTCCGCAGGGACGAAACATTGCAACCCAACTAGCGAGGCACAGCCCCCCCCCCTTTTCTGCAATCCTGGAGGACAGCCAGACACTGCAGCAGTCCGGTGTAAGTGACTGCGCTGCCGCAGCAGCGTACATCTTGCATCGGCAGCGGTTTTTGTCGTGTTATGTAAAATAGTTTATACAGTAGCTGGCCTATCTCGCGAAGTGTTGATTAAAATTCCGAAGTGGGTTTTTGATGGGAATGGTGCCGTGCGTAGTGACAGTCGATTCTGATGAGGTTCATCGTGTGTCCCAGTGTTGCAGACCCGTACTGCATCTACCGCACTCATACCTCCTCTTGAGCCTGCTCTCATGACAAAGTCGCCACTAATTCAGCAACTCATCCTAACTAAGACAATAGGTAGGTTTAAGGCTAGGGTGTGAGTGAAAAAAACATGCCATGAGGTTTCTTGGGGATGTTGAATACAGGCGGGTCCCCAACAGCCGCTCAGATTCTTTGTTCGATGTTGTCTCCTCTAGCCCTTTGGTTCAATAACCTAACCACAAGACAGTGCTGGGCTGTGCGCTCTGAAGAGGAGCGAAGACTGGAGTTCTTTGACCACCGGTGCCTGAGAATCATCCTGCGGGTTAATTCGA